GGAAATTTTTATTTCCTCTTTAAGGGCCTCAAACATTCTCCTAAAGTTATTTTTAGGTCATTTTCTTCTGCCTCATCTATATTTGGTTGTTCAAGTCTTGCTGTTATAGGGCCACTAGTGTTTGTTGGTATCATATTGCTCTTTGTGGTGTTGTGTTCTTACGTTGTCTACCCATCTTTTCCTCTGATTGGTGTTGTTGGAACTGTGTCTCTCATGATCAATTTTCCTGGTGCCAGTGGATCCAAGGCTCTTATGGTTGCTCCTCATGGTGCAGCCAGTGACCTTGGAGGTCATTAGATGTTCCTAGAAGTCATTCAGCACTCCCAGGGGTTGCTCTGCAATCCTGGGCATCGTTGGGCCTGCTCCCTCAGAGCGGTTGCACACTTGTACCTGCTCCTGTGGAGGTTGTTGCCTCTGGCCTGCTCTGATGGAAGTCACTGGCTCAGGCCTGCTCCTATGGAGGGTGCTGCCTCAGGCCTGCTCCAGCAGAGGTCGCTGGCTTGGGCCTGCTCCCTTAGAGGTTGCTGACTCAGGGCTATTCCCACAGATGTCCCTGGCTCAGGCCTGCTACCTCAGAGGTTGCTGTCTTGTACCTGCTCCTGTGGAGGTTGCTGCCTCGGGCCTGCTCTGGCCGCAGTGCATGCTCTGAGTCATCTCTCCTGCCTTGAGTTATTTTATTTTAGTTGCATGTGTCTGTGGTGAGGTATATGTACATGAGTGCAGTGCTCTTTGAGGCCAGAAGAGGGCATCAGATCCCAGAGCTACCTGACACGGGTGCTGGGAACCAAACTCTAACCCTTAGCAAGAGCAGCAGGTACTCTTAACTGGTGAGTCATCACTCCAGCCAGGGATTTCTACAGAATGAATAATATTGTGTTTAACATCTACTGCATCTAACTAAACTGCCTTATTGTAATATTTTGAGCTTCTTTGAGTTTTGCTTAGATTTCTTTTTGTTGACAGTTATAACAGTTCTATATAGATTCTTCATTATTTTCTTGAAATAAGCTAGGAATGAAATCTCCAGGTTGAAGGAATGGGTTGTTGTTGTTGGTGGTGGTGTTTGTTATTGTTTTAGTTGTTGTTTTGGTTTTTTTGAGACAGTGTTCTTCTGTAGCTTTGGGGCCTTTTCTGGATCTAGTTCTTGTAGGCCAGGCTGGCCTGGAACTCACAGAGATCCACCTGCCTCTGCCTCCCAAGTGCTGGCAGCAGAGTCAAACTTTCTTTTTCATGGGAAGGCATTCTCATTCTTCCTTCTGCGAGTTACCCCTCTCTGCTGTTTGTCCATCTGACTGCTAGCCTGCTTCTCTCTCTGTTGTCCTGTAGGAACTCTCCTTACAGCAAGGACCCACTGTTCCGGCTGAATGTGATGTAAATCATGGTTTCCCAGTCTTTTATCTTTGTTGAGTCTAAACATCCCCTACTAGCTTTACTCTCTGTGGTAGGAGACATTTTTAAAAATCACATTGTTTCTTGCCAACCCTAAAATGGCTCCCTTAGTTAAGATATCTTCTTTCCTGCTCCCATATCCACCCTTCCTCCATCTCAACCATCCCATTCCCACAAGCTCTCCCCAATCCTCCCCTTCTCCCTTCTCTCTCCCCATCTCCCCTTCCCCCCAATCCACCCCACCCCCGACCCCCCGTCCTCCCAACTTTTGCCCAGCGATCTTGTCTACTTTCTTAACTCAGGTTATTTTTTCTGGTGTGGACTCTCTGAACATGGCTAACAATGAGGGTGGACTGAGAAGCCAATGATAATGACACCTGGTTTTGATTCTACTGCATGTACTGGCTTTTTGGGAGCATAGTCTGTTTGGATGCACACCTTCCTAGACCTGGATGGAAAGGGGAGGGCCTTGGACTTCTCACAGGGCGGAGCACCCTGACTTCTCTTTGGACTGGAGAGCGAGGGGGAGGAAGAGTGGTGGGAGGGGGAGGGAAGTGGAAGGATGGGAGGAGGTGGAAATTTTTAATAAATAAATAAATAAATAAATCACTTTGTTTACTTTGTGTACAGGAAGGGGAGGCAGTCGGAGACACCGTGAAGAACTTGGTTCTTTACTTCTGACACTGTGAGGAAGCTGGGTCTCTATTTCCATAATGTGTGTCCTGCGAATCAAACTCGGGTCCTTAGGGTTAGCAGCTGGCACCTTTACCCCGTGAGCATCTTCCTAGCCCCAGAGACATCTCTGAATCCACCTCAGCACACAGCACAGTCTCGCTTCTGTTTCAGGGACTCACCAAACACTGGGGTAAGAGCTGGAGTTATTTCCCGCCCCACTCTGAGAACACAGTGTCACTCTGAGAACACACACCCCTTTTATCCAGAGCAGCTGGTGGTTGGTTCCAAAATCTACTTGACGTATCGACGGAACAACTTGTGTCGCCATTTCAATGCTAGAGATTAGGCCCCGCCCTTTGCTCACACTGAGAACATGCTCCTAGACTGAGCTGTAACCCCAGAGGACTGACTACATGCAAGGTGCTACGCACGCTACAAAGAGCAAAAGATTTCATTATAGTTCGAGGATGCAGGTGATAAAGAGAAATAGAAGAAATGCATACTACCCCAGGTATATGAAGGCAGAGTGGCAATCGGAACGTAGGGTGAGAAGGGAATTGTGGGTAGAGTACATTGAGGAGCAGCTGAGAGGTGGAGAGGGAGGAGGTGCTGAGCGGATGTCTGCAGAAAAGGCCTTTGAAAAGCAGATTGAATGGTACATACAAAAGCCCGCAGACCCAAGCAAGTCCAGCACAGATACAGATAAGGATCAGCAGAGCAGTCAGGCGGCACGCAGAGGGCAGCCCAGAGAGCTGGGTGCAGCGGCACCTGTCGTTCACCGTCTACAGGCTGTTGCCCAAATTTTCCTGTGAGTGAACCAGAAGCCCATGAAGCAGAGGCCTGTCGTGTGTGTCATGAAAAGACGTCTCCAGCTGGTGTCTGGGGACAGGACTGGGTGTTCAGGTGGGCACAGGTACAAAGAAGGAGGTTGGAGTACTACAGGTGAGAGCCGATGGCATCTCAGACCACCTGGGTGATGGCAGCAGAGATGGTGAGTGGGGGGCGGTTCTGGGGTGCTGGTCATCGTTCGAGGAAGAGAAGCCAGTTGAGTTTTCTACTATAAAATGTGGGAGGGAAAGGAGAAGGATTCGTGGTTCTGAGAATTTGGGCTGGAGCAGCTGAAGGGCGCAAGCGGAATGAGCGGAGCTGAGGATGACGCAGCAAGTGGGATTACAAGCTTCAAATCGGGGAGCATTGAGTGTGCAGTGCTCAACCACTGGGCAACTGGACACTGGCTGCATGGAAGAGCTGGTATTTCAGGGGTTTTCCATCTCCTCCGCCTATTCCTACTTTACTCTTTCTGGTTCCTTTTTGGATTTTCCAAAAGTTTAAAATCATAACCAAGTTATGATTTTACAAGAGAAGAAAAACAAACCACACTGAATTTTAAATAATGGCAGGAGAGAATGAGCTATGGCAGGAATAACTGCATGTTCCAGACTTTTTATTAAATCTGTTTGAGTCTACAACTAGGCATTTCAGTCAATTTGACGTTCTCTGTGCTCCTCCCTCACTGGAGGCCCCTGCTCTGAAGGAGCTCTCTATGCTGAGACTCCTTCCTGGAAGATCCGGGTGTGAAAGGCTAAGTCCCCAGAGTAGCTCCTCAGTAGGTAGGGTTCTAAGGAGATGGTGCCTAAGGGGGAATTCTGAAGTCACTGGGGATGCTCTTAAACAGAATCGGGGATCCCTGCTCCTTCCTCCTCCTTTGTTTTGCTTTCTGAGCACAAGGCTTTTGTCACCTGGCACTTCCCCCTGAAACACAAAACAATGACCACTGCCCTATTTCGACCTGATCTGGAGCCCAAGGCAATGGGTTTGCCCTATTTTGACCCAGAACCTTCTCAACTGTGAGCAGAAATAATTTTTTTTTCTCATTGCAAGTTGATGCTCCTATTTTGCTGTAGTGACAATAAACTGACTGAAAGACCCTACAGACCCCCTCCTCAAAACCCGCAGCTAACATGCTCCCGGGAGAACGTCCTGTTTGCTTGAAAGATTCTCAGGACCAGCAGCTAGCCTGCTCTCATGAGAACATCCCATTTGCCTAGGAAAGCAGGATGTCTATGAGACAGGATGACTGCAAAACAGGATATCTATAAAAACAGGACATCTACAAAGCAGGATGGCTGCAAAACAGGATATCTATAAGATAAGAACAGGATATCTGTTGCCAGACATCCATGCTGGGAGAGGAAAAACCATTCATGGTCCCCCCCTCATTCCAACCAACCGATAACCACGCTTCTGCTTCTGTAAACTTGCTTTTGCTGCCCTCTTTCCTATAAAAAGACCACAGGTACCTGTTGTTATTCTTAAAAAACGATGAGAGAGCGGCTACAAACGGTCCCCGGGCGGGCTGGCGGAGCCCGCCATGGGAAAGCGGCTACAAGAGGGCACACTTCCTTGGCCCACGGTGGCGGCAGGTAACAGACACGTAAACACAGGAAATAGCCATAAGTATTTATTAAGGAAGGGGGAGAAAGAAAGACAGAGAAAAGAGATAAAAGGAGAGAGGAGAGATAAAAGAAGAGAGAGACAGAGAAAATGCGTGCGCACGCTAAGGAAGCAGAAAGAGAGAGAGGTCCCAAGATGGCGATGGGCGGGTCAAAGGTTATGGGAGTGGGCGTGGCTAGGGCAGGGACCCAAGAATATCACCTGTGTCTACCTAATAAACCTCTTGCTATTTTCATCCGTGTGGTCTCGGCCTGTTCCTTGGCTTCAGGGGAGTCTCCTCCCGAGGGAAGGTCCTCTTTGAGGGTCTTTCACTGACTAATACAGAGCTCCAGGGCACGCTGTGGTAAATGCCTAACCAAACCAGGCCACAGGAAAGCACTCCCCAAATTCCCACATAATAAAGACATCTAAGGCACACCGGCTCAATTCAGATCATCTCTGGGTCACACTGAGTGTCGTGAGCACAAAACAGAAGAACACAGTAGAGTGGTCAGTTCTCTCTTTACTGAAATACAACGACTAGTCAGAGAAGGTGAACGACACAGCTGGAAACAGGCCAGCCCTCTCTCCTTGCACACACCCTCAGGCAGAGTGGACAAATGTCTTGTGGTCAGGTGAGGGGTAGCGTTCTCAAGTCAGCTGACCCTCATGGGTTCTCAAGTCAACTGACCTTCATGGGTACCATCTGGGTCCATGGCACAGTACCATGGCTTTGGACAGTTTGGGCCCCGGCCACAAGTAGCAGTACTCTTTCTTCCAGTATGGAGGGCGTGCCTGGTTGCAGCTAACATCCTTCAGCCCCTTCTGACGCTCAGTACGGACACTTGGACGAGTGGCATGTGGGTGTGCAGTTCGCAGCTGAGCTGGAAAGCAGAAGAACAGGTGGGGTGCCCAGCCTATCTGCCCTCCATAGGCCAAGGACAAGAAGGGGCAGCAGAGGGACATCAACAATGCTACCCGGGCCATTCAAAACACAGCCGGTTCTCACCCACATTGCATGAAGGGTAAAGTGGTGTGGACTGGCTTACTCAAGCTCACACGGCTACCTAGAACCCACCCTCAGAGCTACCTGACCCCTGTGCCTCGCACCATTGGTCGGACTGTAGTCGGAGGCCTCTTGTTTGTTTCCTGGCTTCCCAGACCAGAAATAATTACAACACTGCTTGGCCTATTAGATTGTGCAGGCAGTGAGATGTCTCTGTCAATTCTAGAGTTTCGGAAGTTGCCTACAATGCACTTCCGGTT